TACATTGACGGAGCTGCCCGTGTCAATGTAAGTTCGGTGAATAATGGTGTTGTTTATCTCCGTCCGAATTACCAAGGCATCCCTGTGAGGAGAAGAAGTAGGAGGGAGATCTGCGTTGGTAAAGGTGATGGGTTCCTCCCTCAATCGCTTTACCGGGGGCATATGAGTGACTTCCCCCACGTAAAGTGATTGAGCCCACTTCTTTCGTTGGCTGGTGGAATCGCCCCCTGTATTGCCACCGGTGATCATGAGGATGTGGCGTTTCTTCTCCTGGTAGTGGGGGTACTCCTCCTCCTCTTCTTCCAAGTTTCCGATCTCCCTCTTCTTGCCGAGGGGGATGGTGTTCGGATTCACCCAGGCATTTACCTTCGTATGGTGCCCTCGGGGGGGTCCCTGATGAGAAGGTCCCTCCTGCCGAGGGCTCTGGACAAACTGGGACAGGTGCCCTGCCTGTATTAATCTCTCGATGGCCGTCTTCAGTTGATGGCATTCATCGGTCCTGTGCCCCTGGTGTCGATGGAAGCGACAGTAGGGGAACTGAGGGTTGATAGCGTGTACCTCCGGGGGTGCGCGAGAATCACGCTCAACGAGGCCCCTCTCCTCTACAAAATCGAGGATGATGCTGACGGGGTGCGTCAATGGGGTCCGAGGGCGGTCCAGGAGAATGGGCTGGGCCCAAGTCTTAGGGTTGCTCCTATAACCTCCCCCGGGCTTGGCTTGGCCTTGCCGAGGGCGGTCATCAGAGGGTCCCGAAGCCTTGGGGCGATTTGGAGGAGCCCCCGGCCCTCGGTTGTGCTTGTTGTCAGCCCTCGGGGGCTGCTGGTCCGGATGCTGGTGATACTTCTCCACCTCCTCGGCCTCAGCATATCGGTCCCCCCGCTGCAAGGCCCTTATGTAGTCGCAGGGGGGTTCAATGATGAGGCTCCTTGAAAAGTTGCCGGTGCGGAGGACGGTTTGTAGGAGGGCCAGGAGGGTCCCGTCATCAGCACCGTCGACCTTGTCGGCCTCCGTCCTCCAACGCTCCAGGAAATCCCGAAGGGTCTCATCCTTCTTCTGGCGTATTGTTAGGAGGTGGGAGAAGTGCTTCCTTGTGCGACGCCTCCCGGCAAATTGTGTCAAGAACCGCTGGGCGAGTTCTTGCCATGAATCGATACAGCCCTCGGGCAGCCTGTTGAACCATTCGTATGCTGGTCCCTCTAAGGTGGAGAGGAACCAACGACACAAATATTCGTCTGACGCCCCCACCATCATCATGTTGTTCTGGTACTTGCTGTAATGTTCCTGGGGGTCCGTTTTCCCGCTGTAGGGCTGTATGTGTTGCCCTCGGTATTTCTCCGGGATCCGGGCCGCCAATACCCTTGGGGTAAATGGCGTCCGAGTCCGGAGCTGGATGACGGGTTCCCCGGAGCCCTCGGCCACCTTCTTCTGTAACTCCTCCATCTTGGCCATCATGGCCTCGTATTTGAGATCTGAGTGAGGGGTGGAGGTGGTGGCGTGAGCTTTGTTGGACTCCATTTCGTCAAGCCGGCGCTGGAGGGCCGCAATAATCTCGTCCCGGGGGTCCCTCGGGAGGGTTTCCGCCCCCTGCGAACGAACCCGGGCCGAGTGGGCCTGGTTGATTTGGTGCCGAGCATCATCGGCATGAAGGGGTGCCTTGCCTTTGTCCCGAGGGGGACGCTCCTCGTCTGCCCTCGAAACAGAGCCCCCGCTTTCCTGGGGCCTTTGGAGTGCTTTCCCCCCGAGGCGGTCTTGGACCCGTCGGCGGTCTGGCCCTCCTCCGAGCCGGTTGAGGGCGGAAGTACGGGGCCTCTCCCTGTTGTCATTATGGCGGTCCCGGGACTGAACTTCCTGGGAGGATGTTTCTTGGGCCACCACCCCTTCGTCGTTTCTCACCCGAGGGGTGGGATTTCCGAAGGGGTGTGGCAGAGGGGGAAGTATGATATTTTCCCCGATCTGAGGGTGAGCCGGAGCCAGGATGCCGAAGGCACCCGGGTTCTGGGTGAGCGTTTGGATGAAGGCGGAGAGCGCCGATTGTACGTCGATGGTGAGAACCGGAGGGCTGACTTGGTCATCGCTCCGGTTTTTCTTCTTGGCCTCGATGCCGACGCGGGCATCGGGGGCGTTTTGTTGGATCTGAAGGCGTAGGTCAACAACCGCCTGTTCCAGCCCAGCGAGGACACCGCCCTCGGGAGCCCTGTGAGAGGCTTCGGGGGCGTTGACGTCGCCGAGGGCCAGGTTCTTGTCTTCTACGTTCTTTGAGTTGGCACGTGTTGTCCTCACCATTTTGATAGAGGGCTAGTGTTTGTGTTTGGTCGAGGGGGAGGGTTTCTTACTCGATTGTTCAACCTCTCAACGAGAGCACCAAATGATGGATAGTCTACCCGGGGGTATATACCCGAAGGGTTATTGCGGGAAGTAATCTAGAGAGAAGCCAGAGCAAGTAGATGAAAGTAGAGAGAGAGTATATTCAGTGTGTTCAGCGTGGTTACAAATGGGGAAATGGGGTGCTATTTATAGTAGCAATAAATGCCGGGCAGGGACACGTGTCAAGCGCTCATTGGCCGAGGGGTCACCTCACCTGGTTGGCGCTGGCAGCCGCATGTGGCCGCATTTAATGCGGCTGTTGGATGGGACGTCTGTGCGGGGTACGGTGATCTGTACGCATGTGAGGCGGATATCTTGTCGAGTGAGATACCTTCGACCATAGAGCAGTAGCCGAGGGCTCTTCCACCCGATGGCACCCTGGTGCCGAGGGCTCACAGTGCCGAGGGCTGATGTTTTCGCCGTTTTCTCCCAGTTTCTTAGTTTGCTTGAGAAACCCGTTCTGTGAGAATTTAGAGCCTTCGGCCAGGGGGGCCGAAGGCACCCCTGGCGCGTAGTGCGAGCTGCTTGGTACTCTGGGCGCTGTGATTTGGGCCTGCTGGGCCTTCTGGGCCTGTTGGGCCTTCGCTGGAGTGGTAGGAGTCTGTGGGCCGGGGGTTCCCGGGCCATATACTCCATCACTATGACTGCTTCAAAATTTCAAGAAGTGATTGTATGTTAGACATGACTTAAACCCACCAGATAAGATCATATTTAAATAGACCAGGCCAGACTTCTATAATTATAATTTATAAAATACACAGAGACCAAACATTTACCAAACCTGTTCAGACCAGATAAGACCATCAAATTTCAATTCAAGTAAAAACAGCCGTACTTTTAACAAAAGTATCACGTCCAAGTCTCCAACATTCATGTGAGAGAACCGGGTGACACATCCCAGGTCCCAACGTGTCACTATGATAAGGGGCGGATTTGGTATCGGACAGGTGAAGAACGGGCCTGAGTTAAGAGTTTTGGTTCTAGATCAGAACTAGTATCTAGAACCATTTAAAACCAGTTCTGAGGCGCCTCCAAACTAAGATTGGGACCGAGTGGCCCGGTTCGATTATGATTTTCTTGTTATTTTTTATAAATAAGTTAAAAATTGGAACTTGTTTTGAACTGAAATTAGTTTAACGGGTTCAGGTTCTGGTTTCTCTCCCTGCCCTTATATTAAATCAGACTCAACCTACCTCTAGATGTGATCGGTTGCAACTTGCAAGGGGTTTCGATGACTTTTGGCAAATGGCAATGTTTGGGTTGTTCGCGGCTGACTACTTTATGTGGGGGAGAGTACGTGAGCACTGTACACCCGGTTGTATGGTGAGCACCGTACAACCGACTATTATTTATTATATCTAACGAGTATAATGTTAAAAGAAATGAACATTAGTATTAAATCATCATTTTGGTAGCACAATTGAGTATATGATACAAATCAACTTGTTTATTTAACTATATTATCATTGTATTGCCATCAAAAATATTTATTATGCTCATTTTATAATTTAATACTAATACTCATTTCATTTAAACTATATCTCATTGAGTATAAACTAAAATGTTCGGTTGTATCATGCACATGGTACAACCGGTGGTACCATATAACTTACATGTGGGGATGTGTGTATTTAGCCACTTTAGAATATGTAAAAGTTAAACTTTTCGTCCATTGGCAGCTGAAACTGTACCGTTTTATCTAGATGTATAATTTTTATCCATTTTGATTTAATACAATTATAAAATAAATAATTTTAAGGCATTCATATGTAATAAATATTTATTTGAGTGGTGAAAGTTAGAAATCTTTTCACAACTCAATAAATACTTGCACATATGAATGTAGCTCGGAATGTATGAAAGAACTTTTTGGGGAGAACTACCAAATAAGTCCTGAAACTTTCATAAAAAGTGCAAATAAGCCCTTTTATAGGAAGCTCTATCCGGCCGTTGCCATTTGGGATGGTTTCCGGTGGAATTTTTTGATGAAGTTTTTTGAGCATCTTCTTCATTAAGTCTAGTTCAATCATACCAAATGTCAGCTAAAATTTCAATCGGTAAAGCAGTCAAATGAATTTTTGAAGACAATTGCGCATTTAGATAGCGCGTTATATTTCAGAAAATTATTTGACTGCCTTCTCGATTGAATTTTTAGCTGAAATTTGGCATGGGTAAACTAGACTTAATGAAGAAGATGCTTAAAAACTTTCATTAAAAAAATCCACCAGAAACTGCCCCAAATGGCGACAGCCGGACAAGATCTCCTGTAAAAGGGCTTATTTGCGCTTTTTATGAAAATTTGAGAACTTATTTGATAGTTCTTCCCAACTTTTTTCGTATCCTTATTCTAAAATAGCAGTAGGCTAAGTAGTACTTATGTAGCTATGTCATATTAATTATAGAAATTGCCCTAAATAGGAGTAAAAACGTTTTGAAATTCCAAAATAGGAGTATCATGTTTTTTATTCCTTAAATAGGAGTAATCTGCCAAGTTTGGAACAAAATGCCATGTTTAAAAGCCTAGTAATGTCAAACTTGGCAGAAATTTACTCCTAGGGAATAAAAAACATGATACTCCTATTTTGAAATTTCAAAACTTTTTTACTCCTATTTAGAGAATTTACTCTATTAATTACCTCCAAAAGATCATTTTCGAAGAATCTTGGCCCCTCTTTGCCTACTATTGGTTGATGGACCCACTCATCGTATGCATCTCCAAGATGGCCAACCTATATAAGTTCCTTTCTAATTATGGCTTCAATTGCACTAGAAACAAAGAAACATATAGCATCTTATGTTTTTCATGGGGTAAACTGAAATGGTGAGAGATTATCACCTGAAAAACCAGTGGCTTGCTTAAATCCACTGTGTAGCCCTGTTTGGCCATCTTGGAACCTGTTTTTAGATTACATGGTTTAAAGAAGGATTAAAATTAAATAATTTATTTAATATAATGAGACAAGATCAAAATCAACTGTAATTACGTCTTGAGTAATTAACTTTAAAGTGTTTGAGGAATTCTTGAATTCCCCTTGGATAATAGGCATGATTGTTTTATATTGAAACATTTTCTTAAGAAACATAAACATGAGATATACTGCACCTCAATATAACTAAAATCATAGTGGCGAATTCAATATACATATAGTGTTTAATCATATTTTTTCATGCTGGAATGCACTCAATTTTGTTGAACTACTTTTAACAAAGAACATTTTCATATAATTTTTATATTATAAATAATTTTCAATAAAAAGATATAGTCAGTAAAAGTTTTAAAAATGGCAAAGTTTATTGGGACGGAGGTAGTATTGTTTTTTCATCCCATATGATAGCCTTACTTGCTCAAGTATGACATAATGTAATTTATTGAGTCTAATTTGTCATATTTAATTCCTCAAAAAACGAAAGAGAAATATGACTTTATCCACGTGTAGGGATGGACCCGGGCCGGTCCGGTTCCGGTTCCGGGCCGGGCCCGGGCGGGCATTTTTTGCAAAATGTTGGGCCCGGAACCGGCCCGGGTTGATACCGAGTCCGGGCCTAACCGGGCCGGGCCGGGTCCGGGTCAAGTTCATTTTTTTTTTGGTTTCTAATTAACACCCGACCCCCCCCCCCCCCTTCACCCCCACCCCCCCCCCCACCCAAAACACCCAACCCTAACCTAGAAAAGCACAAAAAATTGAAAAAAAAAAATGAACCGGGCCTGGCCCGAACCGCCCGGGCCGGTTCACCAAAAGTTGGGCCCGAGCCCGGCCCACCCGACCCGCCCAAACGGGCTAAAAGCCCAGAACCGGACAACTGGTCCCGGTCCGATCCGGGCCCAAACAGTAACGGGCCGGGCCGGTTCCGGGTCGGGTCGGACCGGTTCCGGGCCGGGCCGGGTCGGTTTAGACCATCCCTATCCACATGTTAGCTTCGCATACAGCAAATCAAAGGAAATTTAAATGTAGATTTATGGAGCTTGATGAATTATTAAGATTCATTCATCTAAAACATTTAGAGAACTCTGACCATTCATCATGTGAGCTTGCTCCTTAATGAACATTCTAGTGATATACTTTCTCGTTTTAAAGTCATATAAACATTTACAAAACCCTTGGTGTCCTTTTTATTTAATGTAAGAAGATGTTATAGAAAAGCTCAAACTGGTAAGTTGCAATTCTTATTCTTATATACGAAGTAATAGCTAAATGAGAGTAAAGTAGAGGGCGCACATCCATGTGGACGATTGATGTCTTGTTTACCTTTCCTCTCTTGTTTCTTTTATCGTTTATCTTCTTTATCTTTTTATATTCTTATGTTATTTTTATCTTCTAGCTTTTTTATGCTCTTTTATTTATTTTTCTTTTATCTTGGTTATATTCTTGTGTTATTGTTATCTTATATTTATGTATCTTTATTTTATTCATTTTACCTTACTTTTTTTTCCTTTTCTTGTCCTCCTTCTCTTTTTGGCATCGATATCATAGATCGATTCATGTTAGCCGACCCCAAATTCTTTTGGGATTAAGGTTTGGATGTTGTTGTTGTTGTTGTATCAACATTAATAATGCCATTTTCTTGCATTTTTATCACCGATCGGATGTGATGGTGCTGGGAGGTGGTGGGAAAGGTATCCATATTTTTTTATTTTTTATGGGTTTTTACTATTTTATTTGTAGCCTTTTTATTCTATCATTTTTATGTATATTCATCTCTTTTTATATTATCTTTTTTAATAGCTTATCTTTTTTATCTTTATTCTTTCTTTTCCTTTTGGTTGTGATATCATGTATCGATTCATGTTAGCCGACCCCAATATCTTTTGGGACTAAGGCTTGGATGTTGTTTTTGTTGTTGTATAATAGCTAAATGAGAGTGTGATTAGGGTAGAGCTTCTTCTTCTTTTTTAAAAGAGGGGCAGGGCTAGTATATGATGAACTCATGAAAGTGTTGACATATTGTGTTGTCTAAAGTATTGATAAATCCTTAACACTGTTATCTATGTAGGAATATACTTCAAACTACCTCCGTCCCAAAATTAACTTTCCATTTCGGATTACGATGCTTGACCGACGATAAAATAACTCGATCCGTGTTCATACTCAGATTACTTTTAGAGTTTTAGTAAATAAAATTTACATATTGAGAAACTACATTAAAACCGCTACAAAGGTTGATAAAAAAAATATAAATTTGATAAAAATTTGATATATAAAACATAAGATTAAGAGTAATTTAAGTTGACCATGTGAATAGTGACTCTGAAGTTCATTTTGGGACGGAGTGAGTATTTTCTTTCAAAAAAATACTTCTTATTTATTTGCAATGTAAAAATTAAACTATATAATTTAATATAAACATTATTTGATAATATTTGATATATATATATATATATATATATATATATATATATCTTAATCAAAATTTACATGACTTTTTACCATATAGTTTCTTATTTTTTTTATTAATTAGCATGAGACCTACTAAAAATTCATGGCATCATTGCAACTACATCTGCCCAAAAAGATTATCACATAAGAAATCAAAATAATGCTAGCTAAAATTGTTCTGATATTTAATTTTACCTTCTATTTTTAAAGGCATTACTTTTGTTCTTTAAGTTTACATGTGCTCAATTATTAATTGATATATGTACAATGCAAATAAATAAGCAAATAATTATGAATATGAAAATGAAAAGTATGATAAGAAGGAATTAGAAATATATATATACATACATACATATACATATATATATACATATACATACATATATATATATACATATACATACATATATATATATATATATATATATATATATATATATATATATATATATATTATCGAGTTTTAGCATGTTCTTTGTTTATCCTAAATCCTAATATGCTATATGTAGGATGTTGGTGCTGGGAAAAGTTAAGAATAATTGTACACTAACCTGTGACAATTGCTTTTAGGATTTGAGGTATGTCAATATCCTTTTATGTGGATGAATAGACGAATATTGTCGAGATGATGCTTTATATATAAAAAGATTTGGCCACAGAGATAATTGTGGGTTAAATGGGTGATGAGGCGTATCTTATTTATATAGGGGTGATGCAAAATCGTTTGGAAAAACTGCGGCCATCCCATGCTTACCTATTTATCTAAATGTTTGGAAAGTCGGTCATCATAATATTTGATTATAGTCTTTGTGAGCTTCTGAACGAGTTGCTTATCTATATACTATATAAAAACAAAATAGTGGAAAGGAAAATGGGCGAGAAACTTGTGACATGCACGTGAGAAAGTATTTTGCCTACACCTACTACTTTGATCGATCTACTACTCAACCGCTTCGGAAGTAGTGTTTATTATATGTTTGATTGAATTGATAATTTGTAAAGTAATTGAAAATTGAAAACAACATGGAAGATGTTCCTCATGTGAGATTTGAGCTTCTCGAGAATTCATGATTCCATATATTTGTCCTATTAAGTGACTTACGAGTATTAAAGATTGCTATTCCACAATTGTCAAATTAATGTTCTAGAGCTCACTTTGACAATTTTTAAGTGTTTCAGTCGTTACATATTGCGATGATGTTTCTGGAGCATGATGTTTGGACTTCTCATGATTTTTTAACTCCAGAAATAAATGGTTGTCCAGTTGTCCTGTATAAGAAAAGCAAATAATCAATCAAGTAAAGTAATGGGAATTCTAAATTTAGTGGACACAAATGGTTGTCCTATATTCAATGGTTGTCCAGACACAAAAAGCAAATTATTTTTTAAAATAAATGGGAATTCTCATGATTTCTGGAGACAATTTTGTGTTTGTCCAGACTTTTCATTGATCTACTACGGAAGATGAGACAAGAAGATGACAAAAAGCAAGCGTTTGAATCACTCATTTGGGATTGCATGCAGAAGGATAAGAAGGGGGAGGACCAACAAGGATTTGGATTCCACCCACAACATTGCAGAAGCTGCTAGGAAAAAAAAATGTGGTTGCTTTTTTTTTTTTTTGCAGAAGCTGCTAGGAGCTATTTTATGATAGTCATGTGGTTGAAATTGAAATTGACAAGTCTATAACTTGATTGGGAATTCGAAATTTACTAATTATTTGTTCATGAAGGTTTTGCTTAATCAAGTAATTGTCTCCGACGGCCCTTAATTGTGATTGCTTTTGTTTTTGTCTGAATTATTTTATTGTTATGAAAAATCTATGAACTTTCAAATAATTATCGCATATACGCCCTCCCAATTCTGTTTTTTGGGCTTAGGTTCTGGATCCTTGTTAGTGTGATTCCTCTTGAAGCTTGAGTTGCTTTCATGTTAATGGCCTCAATATTTTTGAGCTTTTCTGCTTTCATGTTTACAAGAAAGTAGCAAGTACGAATTGAAGTATATATACTAAGTTATATACATACATATAACATATGTATGTATATATATATATATAATATATATATATATATATATATATAAATACACACACATTATGTAAACACAGTTCATCAGTAACCTGCAAAAAACATAAGTAACTGAAATCACTATTAAAACAATTGTACATCACTTTCCTTAAATTAAAGTATTCAAAATATTAAATATTGTGTCTTTATTTGGAAACCTTGCAAGTAGTGTGTGTATTTGTGTGCAGTGTGCACTATGTTTTGTATATCAATACCAGTGATGAAGATTGGTATATTATTTATCTTTTAATTTACAAATATGTATGTAGTATATACTTATCTTTATATTTTAAAATTTTAATTGCAAATTAGTTTATTAAAATTATAGGAATAGAATAGAGAAATACATTGAAGTTGTCCTAAAATATAAAATTGGGTTGATTGTTACTAGAAAATGTACTACGTACAGCATTCATAATTTTCACCTTTTAGTTTACTTTCGGTCAAGTGCAGGGCCAGTCACGGCCTGGCCGGATTGGCCGGTACAAATTAAAAAATATTTTTTAAAAAAATACACGAATTTTTTTTGCATTAAAAAATAGACAATTTTTAAATTTGAAGTAGAACGCGGTGTAGGTTGGCCTTTCCCTTCTTTCAATTTCAATATATTCATCTTTTATTTCTTAGCATCTTTTAATGCTTAACCCAATACCACTAATATGATATATATTGGGATTTTGTCAATTAGGTATTTTACTATCTATTTACAAATTTAATCATTAAATTAAGACAATTGTGTTGTTTTAACAAATTATTCCTTCATATGGAAAATTATTCTTCCCGTGCATCGCACGGGTACTATACTAGTGTACACAAACAATTAGAGGGTGTGTACATAAAATGCGTGCGTACGAATTTCGTGTACACTTTGTTTTTCCATAATGATAGTCATATAGACTTCTGTCCATCTTAAAGATACGCCATCTTTTATTTAATTTCGAAAACAAAAATATTCTGTTTTTTAAACTTTTAGCACCTACAAAACCAAACTTTCGCCTAAGATTGAGTTGTTTGTTAAATGTCAAAGATTGATTGATACATGTTACAACTATAATGTATTGTTAGTTCATAGAAGTTTATTGATATCCAATCTCTTTACAACCTTGAAATTAATTGAATCGCCTGAATCAATAGAAAACAATGAAATTTTTGTTGGAGCATTTAAATTGACTAAATCTACTCAATTAAAAAACATTATTTAAAAATCGTTTTATTAAAAAAATGAAGAAAAATTACATGAACCGATTTATAAAATGATTCTCTACAATAATTCCAGTCAATGTCAGAAAAGCAACATCAACCATATTTATTTGGTGAAATTCATACCAATAATCCGTACTTTTATTGGTTCTATAATAATCTCTACTGAAAAAAATCAATACAAATAATCCAAACTCGTAAATGCGTCTACACAGATAGATTAAACCTTCCATTAGTAGATGTGACACCGCTCCCAATTTGAACTTGGATTTATCAATCCATTAATATTAAAATTTAATTGAAAGTACAAATACCTATTTCTATGAGGATGACTAGTTGAGTTCATGAATATTTATTCATTTTAAAAACAAGTTACAAGTATATTAATCATATAAGAAATGATTAATTGATTAAATGAATACCGATTAATTAGATTGTGTGTCGGACCCTAAATATGGGAGGGACTAACTAATATATTCTTGGACCACGGTAAATTAATTAAAAGCCCAGGGATAAGGAAATAAGTTACACATGAATGTGTGGGCCGAATAAAAGGTAAAGGATTAGTACGAGAGACTATTCGAGCCATTTACTAATAATAGAAATGTAAAGGGGTTGGAGTCCGGAATATTGGAGAGGGTTATCCAATACATTTTAGGATCGACGTATTAAGGTTCACTAGCCTAAAATAATAGTCCCTCCGTCCCGCTAACAACGGGACAAGAGGGAGTGACACGCAAATCAATAAAAAATAGTTTGTGGTTGATATTGAATTGATTAAGTAAGAATGATTTAGAGCCACAAAAACTTTGCCAAATTTGGTATGAGACAATCTTAGTGGGACGGACCGATAAGGTAAAACGGGACAATCATAACGGGACGGAGGTAGTATAATAAATGAATATAAGTCATTTGGGCCGGACCAAGATAGATTGAGTAACCGAAGTGGTATTCGAGCCCAAATTACCAAAAATAGCAGGTATAAGGGTGGGGGCTTCCTACACTTTAATTGAGGGTGGCTCATACGTTATAGAGTCCAAGTAAAATGGAGAGGAGCCTAAATAATACATTGGGTCAGAGTAAATTAAAATGAGCAGCCCGTGAATCCAACCCAACTAAATTGGCCCACCTTTCTAAAAATAGAAGATAAGGGAGGGGAGTCTCCTTATCCTCTCATTTGAGAGGCTATACGTAAAACATATAGCGAGAAGGATGCCTTGGAGAGCTTCATACTCACAGCAAGAGCTCAGAGAGAAAGAAGGTCAAGGAGAAGAGGAAATCCGATAGAAAACGAAGACTTGCGGTAAGAATCTCGTAGCTCCGGTTCTTGTTCTTCCGTTTAATATATTTTTCTTATATGATTTTATAGAAGTCATATGATGGATTCCAGGGGATGTTCTACACGTTTAAAAGTGTAGAAAAATGATATAAAGTGTTGGTATTTAACTTAGAAGAGTTGTGAAATCGATAGGAATCGAAATCGCCGGAAATCGCCATTGCTAGGAGCTATTTTCATGCTGCAGGGCCCGAAAGCCGGGCGGCTTTTTCCCTCTGCCAGTCAAGTCCATTTCAGATCATTCCCGATCGAAGATTTAACGATGAGGCTTCAATAGGAAGGCTTGTTGGACATATTTAAGGCGAGGATGGCTGACTATATTACTTATAATTAGTGAGTTAATTTCATAAGATTACTCAAGGTAGTTAAATGTGATTTTCATGGATTATTAATGATTAATAATGCCTAAATGAAAATACTATTGTTTATGAGTAAATGAAAATACTATTATGGCTTGTCCCAGCAGGTAAAGGAATCAATTTGGGCAGCCAGTCTAACAACGAAAATAGTGAAGAAGGCAGACGAACAAGCAATTTTGAAGGTGGGTCCTCACAACAAGAGAGAGGGAATCTCAAGCAAAAGCGCAGACGTGTGGAGGATTCAGAAGACTACCAGAATGGGGAGGAGATGGAGCTCGTGCATGACGAAGGAAAAAACAGGGAGGAGGCGAGCTACAAGTTTGTAGCTCGCCAGACACACACCTGACAGCTACCCTACCACGACAGGAGGGAATAAATAAGGCAGGAGGCCATGAAGCATTTTATTATTTTTACGCTCTTTTCATTTTAGATGATCATGTCGTTTTTGTTTTCAGTACGAACTTTTGAGGTAGGTTTTCGTTCTGCTTTTTATTTTTTGCTCAAAACATTATGGTGGGTGGAAGCGATAAGGCTTGTCTGGCCGTTAAAAGCTTCGAAGCTCTCACACGGTTAGCGAATAGTCTCGCTCTTTCCAGGGTGGTCTATTCTATGTCTAGTCAGAGAGTGAGAGGGCCTTTTGGCTATGCGGAGCCTCATTATGGAGGTTTGGCGTTGTA